ACGCACGCGGAGTGCCGGGTATGCGGTAATCCGGCCCCGCGTTCTCTCTCTCTCTCTCTCTCTCTCTCTCTCTTTCTCTCTCTACCTCGCGCGGTCTCCTCTCGAACGTGCGCGCGGCAACGCGCCACACGGCTCACCGAGAGAGTCGCCGAGAGAGTGTATTTTCATCGGTTTTATACGGGTGCACCTTTGACCACTGGCGAGCGCGTTGAGAACGCTCCACGAAAGGTAGGGGATTCAGTCGTATCTGAAGATCAATCGACACGATTTCCATGGAACTTGTCTACACGGCGTTGGAATATAATCTCGTGGACCGCGCGGCCGTCCAAATCTATCAGCGTCGCGGACTTTTATCTCGGGTAGAGGCAGGGGGGGGGGAAAGCGCGGAATCACAATGGCCGAGAGCGCAAGCCACGGCGACGTCGGAGCGCGATGCGGTGCGTCGTCCGCAGGCGCGATTCTTCGATGCGACAAGACCCGCGTCCCTTCGAACCGCGCGGATATTTGCGCGGATTCTGCCCGCCGGGCGACGCAGTCGCGTCACACATAGATCCGACGCGCGTGATTCACTGCACTCACACGCGCGCGCGGTGAATAAGATGCAGCGGGACCCGCCGGTCACGAAATAAATTTATTCAAACGTACACGCGGAATCTCGACAATCTTGCTCGAATGCGTTTCTGTCGGCTGCGACCGCGTCTTTTTCATTACGACCCCGTGTTTCCGCATAGTGCGCGCTCAAATTATTTATCCTCTAATCAAGGAAAATTAATGCGCGAGAAACGACAGGGAAGCCAGTTACTCGCCGGTAACTTAAACCCACACACCCGACCGTTGCTTCGCGATAATCAAATATCCCGCAGTATTCGAGACTCTATAAGAGGAAGTAATATTGAAATTTAGAAATATCTGAGAGATGTATGTGAGAGAACGTCTGAGACGCAAATAAAAATATCCCTCTTTCCGTTGTTCCGACTTATTTCTTCTTTGACTTTTTTCTCTCTCTCTCTCTCTCTCTCTCTCTCTCTCTCTCTCTCTCTCTCTCTCTCTCTCTCTCTCGCTTTCCCTCGTGTACCAAAACTTTTGAGCTTTTCTACAATTCAAAATTCATGAATAGGAAGAAGAGATAATTGTCCGGATTATCGAAAAATCGCACACGCGACTAATCGGCTATTCCGCATCGAGCAAGGCAGCTGCCTCCTCGCGCACGTGCCCGTGCCGCAGTTATCGGCGAAAAGAGGAGAGAGCGGAGGAGGTAGAAGCAAGTAGAAGGTAAAAATGAAAAAGTCACTGATGCCATGCGAGCGACGTGACCCCTCGTCAGTGACCCCGGACGAACCGGCCCGGCCGGCGACGTCGAGGAAAGAGGAATGCCAGACCCGGAGGCTACGCCGAAAAAGGCATCGCGCACAACCGGCACGCCGATTGTGCCGATCGGTCAACAGACGCGACTAGCCCGAGAAACTTATCTTTTCCTGATTGCGAACACGCGGAAGAATCGCCGGCCGATTCAGCTGCCGCGAACGAGATTTGTCACGGAGCTCTTGCGCTTCGCGTTTCTCCGACGAGCGCGCGCGCGCGCGCGCGCGATCCGTCCACGACGGGCAACAAAATTACCGTTTCGTCTCAAGAAACGACTAAACTACTAATCTTGCGAATTTCGAGAAAGTACAGTTTCGAATCGTTCGAGGCACAAACCCCGGATACAGGCTGTGCTGTACAATTTTTCTCTTCTTTTCTAAAGCGTGTCCAAACGGACGCCAGGCCGTCACATAGGTGCGCCGTTTCCTTGTCGAGGAAAAATAGTCAAACCAGTCGGTTGATCGACGGGACCAGTCAGGACGGGAACAGTCGATAATGGCCGGTGAAACCGAGAATGAAAAGCTCCAGGGGGACGCTGGTAAGCTACTAGTCTATTCTGAACGCGCGTGTTCCGTTAGTTTCCTTCGACAAGTTCCCAACTTCCTGATTACTTTCCTAGCTCGCGTCTGTACCTCCGATCGGACAAATTCCGATCGTTAAGAGCCGACTGTCTCAGCCACTTTACTCAGCACTTGCGACAATGTGACTCGAGACACCGTCTCGCGCCATTCACGCGAGCGAGCTATTGTCACGAAATAAATAGTGAGCTGTTACAGTATTTCGAACAAACACACTACTTCTCAATTCAGATCAGAAAATAAAGGAATATTTCTCGAATTCTTAAAAAGAAGGACATGGAGCAAAAATTTTGTGTTAAAATCTCAAGAGCCGCTCTTAAGGACAACGCGACGCGAAGAAATCAAATTGAGTGGAAAAAAAGAATTGCGTCCGACTTTTCGCACGAAATGTTAATTTGTCAGCTCTAGGTCTATTTTTACCGCTATACAGCATTTCTGCACAACCGTATGTCTTCACTGAGCGGTAACGCTCAGAAGTAAAGAGAGGGACGCGAGGGGAAGAGAGAAAGAGAAGTAGCGAAGGCGAGCCTCCGTCGTTATTTAGGCTTCAATTTGAACTTTAAAGCGATCGCCGCGGCTGGGTCGCGGGAAAAAGTCGCCTCGATCGGCCTCGTCTAATGATCGATACGTTAATCGGCGACCCGGCCGAGCCTTGAATTACAGAGAGAACCTTCTGGATACCGCGGGATTCTGTAGCCGGTATTCTCCACTCACCGAGTTTAAACCGAGTGCCTGTCAGTGTTACCTGCCATTCAGACAAATTCCGGCCATTAAGCGTCGAACGTTGTTGCGGTTATACGAGCCCGCTCCTAAAGCCACGGCTCTCCGCGCCGAAGAATATGATGTTCGACCGTGGATTGACCCTTACGGTATCTCCAACGTCAATGGTTTAATTACGATAGAGTCATTTCTTCGTAGCATGATTTTTGCCAGCGTTACATTCCGCCCCTCTCAAAGGTCAAAGTTGCATTTGGAGGACGCGGATGGCGCGGCGGCGGCGGCGGCGGCGGCGGACCGTTCGCCGTTCACGCGAACGCCGCGCGCGCGCGCGCGCGCGACTTGCCGCGCCAACTACCGATCGTACACCGTCGTTAACAATCCCGCTAATTAGATAATTAAAATCTTAATTGTATAGATGATGGATATGAATTTACCGCCACCTTCGCTCCCGCTTCCCTCCCTCCTCCTCGCGCTCTTTTACGCAAAACGGTCGGGGCAACGATCGTGATGCGCGATCAAACGAGACGACCTCAGTGACGACGTCAACGAGAAACCTCGCGGGGGGGGGGGGAGGAGGGAGACGAGCTTCCGTAGACGAGGAGTGCCGTTGGAACGAGCATTTTAGCCGCGCGGAGCGATTCAAGTAGCGGAGCCCTCGGAGTCACGAGCGCTCGGATCACGAATCAATGCAGCGCGAGTGGCAATTTCGACGACAGGCTCGACGAATGACGAAAATCTCGCCGTCACCGATCGACCTGGCCTGGGATCGACGGGATTCTCTTTCCGTCGACTTTTCGCGACAGGACAGAGGAGGACCAGAGCACGACTCGCTCGCACGAGCTTCGCCCGAGCGTGGTCACAATCGCGCTTTTCACGAGGCCGATCACACATTTTCGATTCCTGCTCGTCCTGGCCGAGTCCGAGTCGCAGTTAGCGTCTCCTCCTCTATCCCCCTCCCCCCCGTAGACTCTCATCGTCGTAGTCGTAGCCTCTCGTTCTAACCGCGAGAGAGCAAGGCGAGTCACTAACTCTACCGACTGGCTGTCAGTGTACCTGCCGGCCAGACAAATTCCGGCCATTAAGCGTTCGAATGTCGTCGTGGCTGTGAACCCGCTCCGAGGCCCCCGTGTGCCACGACTCGCCGAGGGAATATAATGGTGGACCGTGGATTGACCCTTGCGGTACTCCCACCATCACCAGCCAAGGCACCGCCATCACCTACGCCACACGAAGCACCGCGCCGACGACACCGACTCGCACGACCACCGACTCGCCGCGAAGTCGAGAGACGCGCGCAACGCCTATGTAGTTTACTTCAAGCCCGAGCTATACGTGGCGGGGTCATATTCTCATCGGCGATGCATGGCCGCCGGTACAGTCGACGGGAACAGTCGGGGCCGGCCCCGGAGGAGCGCGTCACGGCGGCGAAGAAAAAAGTGCGAGATATCTGGCACACGGCGCGCGCGATCTCGGGTCGTCGCCACGACGACGACACTCTCTTCACACACACGTCTGCTCTCCGCTCCGTTTCTTTTTTCCTTTCTCTCGTTCATTTTCCCCAGAGTCCTCGTTTCGTTCCCGAGGAAAGCTCGAGGGAAGCGGAGCAGTCCGGAACGATCCGGATGCAGCTTTCCTTGAACAAGCACGACGCGCTTTGTCCCCTTTAAACGCGCGGCTTTGCACGTTTGCGAATTCTTAAGAGAGCCGTTGTTCTCGAGAATGAGAGAACGCTTAGAACGACTGCCAAGCCTCGACATTGAAACCGAGTTGAATAATTGCTCGATTGCTTTTGACGCGAGGAGAAAGACGAGTTTGTCCCCTTCGAGTTTAAATTCACCAAACAGATGATAACGTAGCAAGTAAATTGTGCGTGGGAGAGGTGTTTGTTAGAGCCCGAGGTGAGCCGAGCCCATCTCGAAGACGGTGTGCGTTATCGAAAGATCGAAAGATCGAAAGACCAGTAGTAACCTTGCCGGGTTCGAAAGAAGGCCATGGGCGAAGGTTCGACACGACGACGATCGCGCGCGAGTGACATTACAAATTCGCCGAAACGGGCGGTCGGCGCCTTTTTATTTCTGGGAGTTATGTCCCAAGGCGAACCGATACCATCGGAATTTGTTGCTAAACGTTAAATAATTTATGAACATCGGAAATGAGAAAAAAAGAAAAATTCACTTTTACGGAAAGTTACGGCTCGTGGAGACGACGCACATGGCAACAGGGAGGAGTTATCGAACTCGACGCGTTTAACAAGAAGAAATAAGAAAAAGATCGCAATGGCTTCCCCGATCGAGCGTCGATGACGCGATAAGAAAAAATGTTCATGATAATTTGACTCACCGACGATGCCGCCGCTCTCTCCTTCTCTCTCCGTGGCTCGTCCCGAGCTTCTGCTGTAACATACAAGAAGCAGGAAACGATTAGTGCAACTGGACGGTGGGGAGAAATACATTCTTACGAGAGAGTTTCTCTGTTTACCCGAAGAGAAAAAAGATTCGATCATAATAATTTATCGTGACCAAACACTGCCCGCTTATCACGTTCCAATGCATCCACCTCAGATTTGTCGTTCGAGCTGTAGCCTACGCGCATCGAGGATCGCGTTTTCTCCGCTTGCTAATGTCTCTTCGCGCAGAAGCGCGGCCGCATTTTCCCCGCGAATATCGCTCCTACCTGCGGCGAGTTTGCATACACGGCCGCGTCGTCGCCGCATTACCAGGGGACGCCTTTGACAAAGATTGATCGCGGACGGACCCTCTGGCGGCTTTTCTTCCGGATCGAGTTGGATCAGAGAGCGTTAAGTATGGCGCCGGGCATCGGGCGACCCCCCGCGGAATTACGCGCGGAATTGCGCGACGCGAATGACTCTCTCTCCCCCCCAGCTCGATGTTTGGAGGCAAAGGCCGACCGACAATGACGCAAAGCGGTCATCCTCGGTGGAGTATCACTAACGAGCCGTTTACCTGTTATGCCTTAATTTATCCAACGGTTCTCCCTCTATCTCTCCCTCTCTACCTATCTATCTCGACCTCTCGCATTCTTTCTCTTTCCCCCACTCGCGTTGTTCACGGCGATCAATCGTCGGCACCAAGTTCCTGCTTCGTTTGCGCCCTAGGAGGGTCGTTAAACTGTCGTGTTCGTTCACGCAAGGCGACATAATAATTTTAAGCCTCGCATCGCGCCGCTTCGGAGCCACTTTTGATGCCTAACGATGGCTAAGCATCGAGCGCGCCGAGTTGTACACGGCACGTCGTCGTGGCGCAATCGCTGGCCGGACGCTTCTCGATGCCGCCGCCGTACGCGATGAGACGCGTCGAGAACGGAGAAATGGAACGTCACGCCGGCGCGTGTAACGGTTTTCGGAAATCGACAGCAGTCGGCTGAACGAGTTCATCGGAGATTTCGTCGATGACCCGGTTACGATGCCCGTACGATCGGACGTGCGTCTATCCTCGCACGAACAACTCGCGCGAGCAACTTCATCGCGCGCGATGCAGCTAGGGCTGCATTTCTTCTTCGGTAACAAACCCAAACCGGACAGAAATAATAATCATAACGTTACATTAAATACGACAAAATATGACAAGAATGTATTTACAATATTAATTTCCAAACAATTTTGATAAACAACATTTGATTGAATAAAATAATAAACCATTACTTTTTTAATATATATGGAACGATGAATCGGCAGATCATCTACTGGATGGCTTTCCGTGGCGTTCGATCGTTTGTAGACGCTTGAAACGGAGAAACGTTGCCAAAATCTGATCTCTCATTCCATCGATTGGATATAACTTAAAAACCGGACACTGGACAAGATTTCTGAAAACCTGACAGTCCGGGGTCAAAACCGGGCAGTTGGCAGCCCTAGATCCGCAGCGCGCAGAACGCAGAAACACGCAGCCCCTCGCCTCGCGGCCGAGGAGCTGCGGAGGAAAAAAAGAATCGCGCGCGGGGCGAGGCCGAAGGAGGAAGGAAATTTCACTAGGCGCGCGTATCGTTTCGCCTTCTCGTTCTCGCGGAAACTAGGCTGCCTCGTGGAATCTGGTGTGTATTCAGCGAGTCGACCGCGTTATCGGCGCATTATCTAGCCGCACCGCGTGGCGAACGCACAGGCTTTGCCGGCCGGTACAACACCCTCATAGTAGCAACGTGCGCGCGCGCGCGCATACGTCGATACGGTTTCAGTTACCTAATCGCGTAGCCGTTGCCCAGTCGTCGCTTTTTACGGGCCCTCCCTCGCCAGACGGGCCCAACGATGCGTGAACGCAAACTTTACTCGTTCCATTACGTTTTCTACTCGGATAATCCGGTATATCGGGCCCCGCCGGCGGACCCCTCGTCGCCTCCCCCCGAGAGAGAGAGAGAGAGAGAGAGAGAGAGAGAGAGAGACAATCTCAATCTCCGCAAACGCACTCTGCCGCGCTCGGACCGGCGACGGATTTTTCCGCCGCCGAGGACGATAGCGCGTAAATAACGGCGGCGAACAATCGTCTGTATCGTCCACTTCGTTTGGAAAGAAGCACGGGGCTGCTGGATAGACGGGACGGAATTGCGGCGAGTACAATGGCCGAAGCGCCCGGTTTAAGCATCAGCGATGATCGCGTAGCTGTGAGATCCAAAATGGGATTTTTCATTGACTCAGACGGAACATAAAAGCCGCGCACGGATCTCAGCCGTTATCGATCGTTCAACCACGTTCACGGTGCTGAAGCGATCGTTCAACTGCGTCAGCCTGGCCGCCCGGCGCGGCGGCTCGCTGGCTCCTCTCTCACACCGAGTTCCGCAAAATCGCGCTTGTTTTCGACCCGCGTCCGAGTCGAATCCGTTCGCGCGCGTTTCGCAACACCGAAATTCGCCTCTCAGATGCAGTTCCATTGTTCGGCGCTCGCGCTTGCGTTGCCCGCTGAAAGGAAAGGTGCTTGACTCAGGGACACCTCTCTCGTATGTGTATCGCTCGGAGCCGAGAGTGGTGGTCGCACGCGGTAGCCTACTACGAGCACGTAGTTATACTTAACTGTACGGGGCTCGACACAGTTGTACGTACGTAAGTGCACGTAGGCTCACGTGGAGAGAGGGAGAGAGAGAGAGAGGGGGGAGAGAGGGAGAGAGAGAGAGAAGGGGGAGAGAGAGAGAGAGAGAGAGAGAGAAAGAGAGAGAGAAGAGAGTCCTCCGCGGGGCCACTACGGGGACGGCGAACGTGTTCGCGTATTAGTATAAGAAGGCGGACACGCGGCTAAGCCGCAATTTGTCCGAGTCTTTAAACGCGCGTTCCGCGCGTTTCTATCCGCACATGCGCGCGCGCGCACGCACACACACGTACACGAGCGAGCGAAGCGTTTTACGTTGTGAATTTCAGAGCTCTGTTCTCGACGATATGGTATCTGACAGCGGCTGAAAAAGTGCGCAAAGTACCGCTCTCCTTCTCGCTAGCCCTCCCTCCCTCCCTCCTAAGTCTAATACCGCGCGACGCTCGCGCGAAAACGCGAAATCTTTTCCTCCGTCGCGCCGAGATGATATTTTAAGATCGGATTCTTTGACTATCTCTGCTTCCTTCTCTTTCAATTTCGTTCCGCGTAGATTCGATCCGTTATATTACGCCGATCCAAAAGCAATCCGAATACGATTATTCAAATGCGCACGGAGCGTCTTATCGGGCCGGTTACACACGGTTACGGCGGCTGCTGCGAGCGTAGGTACAGCACGAACGTAAGAGTGTATGATTAATCGTTTTCTGACCTTTCTGATGCACCTGTGAAATCGGAATATGATTACCATATTGTGTCGGGAGAGAGAGAGAGAGAGAGAGAGAGAGAGAGAGAGAGGGAGGAGAGAGCGAACGAAAGCAACGCCGCTTCGCGCTCCTCGCGCTCTTCACGCTCTTTGTCTTTACGCGCTCGTCTCGCGCCGCTCCGCGCGATTTTGCATACGCTCGTTCCGGCGCGTTCCAGCCCGCCGCAGAGCGACCCTTATGGATGCTTGTATAAATCAACAACGCTCACAATTAATATCGCGGTCTGCGCCGGGGCGAGTAAAACACGTGTAAAAAAAACGGGGGGACAGGGAGCGAAAAAAAGATCGAGTTGGACTAGTAGACGCCGGCGCGACGGCGTCATCCTTCGCCGTTCGCATTGTGCGACGATTTATTGGAATATACATCTCACGAACCGTGACACCTACGCTGTAAATTAACGCCGCTGGCAATTAGTATCGAGCGCCCTTGAAGGAAGAGAGAAAAGCGAGGAAACGAAAAAAGCGATCGGGCTCAACGAGGTGCTCTAATACCCCCTCTCTCTCTCTCTCTCTCTCTCTCTCTCTCTGTCTCTTCCCCTTTTCTCCTCCCCCCTGCCTCTCCTCGTCTCAGTCTCGTCTCGCGCACTGCGATCTTATCTACAGTTCTTCGCGAAAATCTTTATATCGCGAGACAATTTATGCGTATACCAATTACGCGAGGCGTACGTTATGTATGCCGTAAATTAACGCCGATCACAATTAACCTTGAGGGTTAAAAACGAGGAAAAGACGACGCGCCGAGATCATCGCGCAGATATCGAACCGTCTGAGATCTCCAGCCTGTTTACTATTATCGCGCTTCGCGACAATGCGGCGGGGAACGCGCGCGATCGATTTCGAGGGTGGGAATTTTTCCTCCTCGTCCATCTCCAAACGAATGTCGACGCAGCCTCGTATTCCGTCGCGTGCTCGATACCATTCCGCGTTGAGAGAATAATCGCCCGGAGAGAGAATTTTCGGCGGAAACATCGCCGCGCGTGGACGCGCGCTCGCAAACGACTCCGCTCGATTCGTGCCGCCGGAACGTGCGCGGTGTCGCAAATTCCTGAGGACGCGAGGAAAAGGGACGAGAGGAAGCTTCGACGACACCCTTCGCATCCGGAAAGTCGCGATCGAGCCGAGCATGCGAGGAAGTTTAAATTCCGTAGGCGCTGTATATTACGTGCGCGTTTATAGGAACAGGAGAGTGGAGCAACATGACTTATAACCGAGTTACTCGCCACCGGTGATTTCCCATTATACGACCCGGTATCCGAGTCATCCTCCCCCCTCGAAAGGATTAAAGGCATCTCGAATGAGGTTGGTACTACTTGCAACATTGAGGTTGCGTCGTATCGCATCTGCGCCCGCGTACGATTCTCATTGCGTGGCAGCAATAAATATGCTGATTAAGCGGCAACGCGGGGTCGGTTAATTTGCAGTATATCAGTATCCAACAGCGCATTTTAATTGGCCGTGAAGCATTATTGCGGGGGATAATCCACGGCGCGGCTTTTCAATAATGGTCGCGCGCAACTGACAAACGACGCTCTACGAGAGAGAGGGAATGCGAGCGAGGGAGGCAGAGAGAGAGAGAGAGAGAGAGACGGCGAGTTTG